CTGGGTTGAGGGAAGGTCTTTTCTTTCACACTTGGGGTGCTGGGCTGAAGCTTTCTTCCGTTGATTGCATCATTCCTCCATGCGCACATTGGGATTGGGTGTTGTGTTTGGAGGAATAGGATTTAATTGGATGAATACTGATTAATGGTTGCATAGCCCTGATGAGTGATGGTTGGAGAAGTAATCTCAAGTGCCTAGATCTAAGTATGGGGAATTTAAATCGATGGTGTAAGAGTGGCCAGAACACTAAGCTTGAGGGTAATTATTATCTCGATATTGTCTTAATGTTTTTTAAAATTACTTTATCTTGTGAAATGTGGCTTGTTGAGTCGGTTGGGCTAGTCTAGCTCGTCAATCATTGCTGCTAATTACTTGTGCTTGGTTAAGAGTAGTGTAATTTGCGTTGTGTGTTGCTTCTCTTTATTTCTGACGTTTAATTTTCTCATTGGTTTGTATGCATGCCCATCTCTCATCTTGTTGTTTATAAATTAGTTGCTGTTAAAGGGTTTTCTTACCTTTGCTTTGTTTCTGAAAGCTGAGCCTTTAACGTTCCTCCCCAAAATGACTATTATCTCCCAACTTGAAGCTTCATCCTCTAGACACCTAGGATTCCCTCTAGTCCCAATTTACCTTCATGGGTTAATATATTCGTTTCTCCTCAACCTGGCCAACCCTCTGTGGTTGTTGAGGGTTCTAGGGGCACCTTTACTCTGGAGAGTGGAGTTACTAGGGTTTCGACTAGTTTCTACTTGAACCTCAATGTGGAACATATGGAGAGCAGGATACTCATAGAAAAGCTTGTGGGGAAGTAGATTGAAGCTAGAACCATTAAGTCGAAGTTAGGGCTTACTTGGGGTACAAGGGTCAAGAATCCCTTTTATCTTGACCACTTTGGTCACCATTAATATGCAGTGGAGTTTACTGACCAAAAGAGCTTGAGTATGTGTTAGACAACAAACCTTGGTATGTTAGGGATTAAATCTTCCATCTGGAGAAGTGGACCACTTTTTTTCGTGATGCGGAGATGATTTCTAGTCTTATAGTCTGGGTTCGGATTCTAAGACTTCCGGTGCAGTATCGGGATGCTAAAATCCTGGAGGTGATTATGCAACTTGTGGGCACTTTCATTAGGGTTGATGAGAATTCTCTGTCGGGTCTGAATGGTTTGTTTGTGAGCGTGTTGCTTGAGGTGGATCTGAGGCTACCTTTGAAGAAAGTGATGGTTATCATTGATGAGGAAGATACCCCGGTGTTGCTGAGTTATGAGAAGTTGTTCGAAGATTGTTTTTATTGTGGCCGTAGGAGGTCGGGGGGCCACAAACGCCCGACTATTGAGGATAGAGATGGGTGGTTGCTGATGGATAGGTTATTTGAGGATGAGCTGCTGGTTTATTCAGCTGATGTTGAAATTTCTGAGGAAACCAGGCAGGAGCTGCATGAAGGGGCTATGCTGGTATTTCCTCAATCGGTGTTAGAGGCGAGAGAACAAGTTAGAAACCGGGAAGAGAATATAAGTGAGGGTTGGAATACTGTGGTTTCTTGGAAGAATAGGTATACTGGCAGGGGTCGTAGTGGTGCACGAAGGGATGGTAGGACTTATGACAATATAGTAAGGGGCAACAAGACTTGGGTCTCGAAGGCAGACTTAATGTCCAAGTGGATGCCTAATTGTGCTTTGACCTCTGGTGCAATTGTGAGGGGTGGAGCTGAGATTGAGGCAGATGCTGACAAGGGTAAAAACACGATGGAGGAGGATGAGGAGTTCATGGAGGCTGAAAAGGAAAACAATGAGCATATGCAGTATCTAGGGAGTAGGAAGAGGGGTAGAAACAGTGGCAATGGTGATGTTGGGGCTAGCTATGTCGTTGAGGATGTTGATTGATGAATTGTCTTGTCTAGAATTACAGGGGATGGGGCAGACCTGATTTTGTCCCTCAGTTTAAATTTCTTTGTAGTTTAATTAAGCTTGATGTCTTTTGTGTTCTAGAACCTAGGTCTGGTCTTAGTAAAATTTCCAAGAATGTTTTTTTGTAAGTGGTTTAATGGAATGTTTTTTGCAGAGGGGAATGGGAAACCGGTGGGCTTTGCCTGTTCTGGCATGACCAGAACTTATCTATTAATGTAATTGCCTCCTGCCCTAGATTTATCCATTGTAGTATTAATATCTTAAAGTCGGGAGTTACTTTTTTATGCATTTTTACTTATGCCTTTCCACAAAAATGCATGCAATCTCAACTATAGGAGGATTTATTGAGCTTTTATGGTATCAATACTAACTTGCAACCCTGGATGTTGATTGGAGACTTTAATAACATTTTAAGTCTCAGTGAAAAGGTGGGGGTAGATAGAAATACAAATGTGCACATGGTTAACTTTGCTGAGTTTTGGAAAGATGGAGGCCTTGTTTCTTTCTCTGCTTTTGGGGTTCCATTTACTTGGACTAATGGGCACAAAGATAACACTTTAATTTTTGAAAGATTAGATAGGGTTCTTGTAAATGCAACCTGGTTGAACACATTTCCAAATGCTAATCTCCACAATTATCCGATTTTTTGCTCGAACCATAGTCCTATTATGTTAGATTGCCTTCCAAATAACCAGTGTATTGTCGTTGGAAGTTGTGACTTCAAGTTTATGGCTATGTGGTTGAATCACCCAGATTTTATTAATATTGTTAAAAAAGCTTGGAGTATGGATTTTAATGGCAACCCTAATGATAAGCTGAGGGGTTGTCTATGAGCTTTGAAATCTCTGGCTAGAGTTTGGAACAAAGAGGTCTTTGGTAATGTCCATGAAAGAGTGCGTGAACTTTTTTGAGCAAATTAATGTACTCCAAGCCTAGAGTATGAATGATCCGAACAACCTTCATTTACTAGCCGAAGAGGCAATGTTATGAAATGAGTTGAATAGAGCTCTTAGTAATGAGGAAATCCTTTGGGGTCAAAGACCTCGAGTCAACTAGCTCCAACTTGGTGATCAGAACACTAAATTTTTCCAAACGATGACGAATGTGTTAGACAAAAGAGGAATGAAACTTTGAAAATTAAGGATAATATAGGGTTGGTTGAAGGGGGAAGAAATGGAACAGGTTTTTGTGCATGATTTTAAATTGTGTTTCACTGGTTATCCTGGTTTGAATAATACTATGATTACAAGTTTCACTGACATAATTGATACTTGCATCATTGAAGACCAGAACAGGGCTTTGCTTAGCCCAGTTAGTGATGACGAGATTTGGAAGACTGTTAATGGCATTGGAGCTTTGAAGGCCCCAGGCCCTGATGGCTTCCGTGCCTTGTTTTACAATAAGTGCTGGGATGTTGTTGGTCCTTCAGTCATAAGTTTACTCAAAGATTTCTTTAAGAATGGATCAAGCCTAAGGTTAATTAACCATACGAACATTGCGCTCATTCGTAAAGTAGAAAATCCAGAAACAGTGGTTAATTTTAGACTTATTAGCTTCTGCAACGTGGCGTATAGAATAATTACGAAGTTGATGGTTAATAGACTTAAACCGATCCTAGAAACTTGCATTTCCAATAACAATGGGGCTTTTGCTTCTAATAGGTCCATTCATGATAGCATCCTCATTGCTTATGAAATCCTTTCGACGTTTAAACGTAAAAAAGGGAGAACGGGAGCGATGGCGGTTAAATTAGATGTTGAAAAGGCTTACGATATGCTGAGTTAGGATTTCATTAGGTTGGTGCTTGATAGATTTGGATTTAACAATCACTGGATCAATCTCATTATGGAGTGTATTACTTCCACCTCTTTGTCTATTTTGATTAATGGTAAGGCCCACGGGTATTTCTATCCTTCAAGGGGAATTAGGCAAGGGGATCCCTTGTCTCTGTATATTTTCATTTTATGCATGGAACCTTTAATCAGGCATTTTAATGCTCTGGCCTTCTCTCCTAGAACTAGCGTTGGGCTTTTGACTTCGCCTACAGGTTTTAAGGTTTCCAATTTAATGTTTGCTGACCTTTGTCTCATTTTTGCTAAAGCGTCAAAAGGTGTTGCTAGGATTATTTTGAATGTTTTAAATACGTTTGCGTCCGCTTCTGGACAAAAGATAAATTTTAATAAATCTTCTCTATATTTCTCGAAGAATACTACTAATCACATTCATAATGAGGTCGCTAATATTATCAAAATCCAACACAAAACTACAATTGGTAAATATTTGGGAATAAACAATATTATTTGTTGGAAAGACCTAGTATATACAAAGGATGCTTGATAAGGAGAATAGGAAGTTCCTTTGTGGGAGGGAAAGTAAAATGAACCTTGTGGCTTGGAATGAGGTGTGCCAGCCCAAATGCAAGAGGGGTTTGGGTATTAGGAAAAGTGATATCTTCAACAATACTTGTCTTACGAAGCTTGGTTGGAAGGTGCTCACAGATTATCAAAATTAGTGGGTTCAAGTAGTTAAACAAATATTTAAGGAGGGAGAATTTTATGGAGGCTAAGGCCGGACAAAATCAATTGGTGGCCTGGAAATGAATTTTTAACGCGAGATAAGTGATTGAAAAAGAATTACAATGGATTGTGGGAAATGGGAGGAACATTCTGTTCTGGACCCAAAACTCAGTTTTTCCTTTCCCTATCCTTAACCTTTTTCAGGAGAATCAATTAACTTATCTAGATTTAAGTCTTAAGGTGCGCCAGTTTATTATGAAGAATAAGCTTAAATGCAAATGGTGCTTTGAGCGTGAAGTCTGCAACTTGGATTCAAAACACCATGATCAATGATGATATGAAGAATAAGCTGCTAAAAAGAATGTGGAAGTTAAATATCCCTAATAAAATTAAAATCTTTAGTTGGCTCTTAATCCTAAATAAGCTTCAAACCAGGAGTAAAATTCATAAATTCATTAACACGATCTGTGATATTTGCTTGTTATGTAATGTGTGCCCTGAAGACCAAAATCAGGATTTATCCCTTGTGAGTGTACCAAGCAAGTTTGGACGTATAGTCCGAAAGTGAAACCTCCTGCTAATCAAAGTAATTGTAGCCTGTTTGAGTGGCTGCGTTCCCTTCATTACCAAGATAATGAGACCTTGTCAAGTCTTAGTTTAGCCCTCCTCATATGTTGGCAAATCTGGAAGATGAGGAATCGAGTTATTTTTAATAATGCCAAAGCGAATGACTACACGAATGCCAATAAGAAAAATCTTATAGCTAGCAGGAAGCAACGGGGGCTGATTAGATAGCAACCCCCTCGTGGTGATTTCTTCAACTGAACTTCGATGGCTCTGTTAAGAACTCTGCGGCGGCTGCGGGATTTATAACAAGAGACTGCAGCTTGGAAGTTCCATGCATCCACATTCTGGGCAATCAGAATGAGCTTCAAGTCTTCTGTCACATTATCTAAACAAGATTTATAACACGGTATTTTCGCTATCGAAGCACTTCTGAATCCTTGTGTGTGTAAAACTACGACAATAATATAACCCCCTCTTTGGGAAAGGGAGCTTACATCCAGCTACATAAAGTGAGAGGGTCAACGCGCAACAAAATTTTCCTCATGGTAACCAACATTATATAAGGTAGTTTATAACTTTAGAACCGAAAGTGACTGGAAACGTTCACGCTCAAAGTCCTGGCTCCTCTCCTCCACAGTGATCTACAAGTCAAAACAGTTTCATCAGATAAGCTACAAAACATGGGTTTGAAATGTAAAGATTCTTTTCGGTAAGAGTGTAATTCCAGGTTGTAGAAACCCTACCTTTGTGAATCAAGATGATTTGCATATGGAAAAATCTATGTGTAGGTAAGCTACACTGGCCATGAAAACGAAGAAAAACGTAGACACCAACATCAGTGGTTCTGCCAGCATAAAGACTGGGTTAAAGGTGTAGTAAACCTGCCAAATAAAGCAAAGGAGAGAGATAGGTTCAGCCACTAATATACATAATATTTTAAGGGTTGTGCAGAGCATACATGTATCGGGACAATATATAAAGAACACGAATCTAGGAAATTTAATTCTGTCACTACACAGCTTCAATACTAAACAACCTAGTGGTTCAGCACAAGTTGTATGGCCATTTCAAGGGTGAACATATATATACTAGGACCAATGCCCTAACCTTGCAAACTAAAATACATGCTAATCTATGAGGCATATTTCTATCATAGGATACTATTAGGTGAGCATAACTGATCCTAGATACGCTCCCACGAATGACACAGAGACAAAGTCAAGCCTTGAAAAGTCCTGCACACACTTTACATGAATTTAAAGGGCATTAAGTTCTCCAAGTGGTCAGATCAACCTCAAAACTTAATGCCAATATAAGGAGAGCCAAAATTATAATTTTAGAGTTCAGAGTAGCAAAATGCCTCAATAAGTAATTATAATACTTGGTAAACTCCAACCAAGTGAGTGATAGAATAGCCACCTGGAAATGAGAGTTGTGTTCTGGAACTACATTTCTCTTTTCAAGAACCACCACAGTCCTTCCAGCAACATCAAGGTATGAATATTTGGTCTGCAGATATAAGAATGAAAGATATGCACTTAATCACTATCATATAGAAAGAAAAATTATTTTACTTGCATCAAAAAACAAAATTGTTGTGCGATTTAGATAATTCCAAAAATAATTAAAAAAAAAAAAAACATTTTCTTGGCAACGAAAAATAGAGTTAAAATTGCTTCAATGCACTTTACAATTACTCAGCTGTATAGAGAAGGTTTAGAATTATATTATATAATGGTGTTTTTGGACATCAATAAAGGCCTACTATCGGATTACCTCTAGATGTTGCTCAACTGAAAAAGGAACCACAGCAGAAGGATTTTTTGATCCCTCTGGTAGCACAACCTGAAATACAACAGTTCCTGAATCAGTAAATTAATATTCCCACGTCTAAGGGCAAACAAAATGGAAAAAAGATCTGACAAATCTGCAAAATATAGAACATAAATGCAAAAACATAGTACTAAACCCACTTTTACAGTTAACTTGTCTACCACCGTCTCAGCAAGAGGACAACCAAAAGTGAAATTGAGGTATCGCCTGCCATCAGGTGACTCAAAAAGGAAGTCTTCCAGTGGTAACCCATACCCAATTACAAATGTAGCTTTCCAACCACCAAATAAAGGATAGCGTGGCTCAATTTCAAGATCCGACTGAAAAGAAGGTATTGAAATAGTCATGATTAATAGAACCAAAATCAGAGTTGTATATGCAAAACGTGGGGATATTATTCTGCATTGTTTTTCTGTGTGAACTTCCCCATCCATTTGCTATAAGGATATTATGCTTCCAATGGACAGATAAAGAGAGAGCCTACGAGTATGGCAACAAGCAAGTAAAACATATGTACAAGGATAGCATCATTGCATATATAAATTGTTTCATTGCTGTGGACCAAAGCTACCTTTAGATAATCTGTACGTAAATGTGAGGATGAGATGTTTCCGATTTCATCTCGGTAGTAGACAGAATGAACCCTAGGAGGTAGTCTGGCTAGAAGATGTTTGAATGAAGAGACGCCACCAGCATGTGGCCTAGATTGATAGTCAACCCTGCCAAAAGGAAGCCTTAGAAGATTAATTTTAAGAATGAACAAACATACAGTTTTTTTATGGGCATCAACATACATATTTATTTCTGTTATTCTTCCTAATAAGCATAAGACAAACTAAAGGCTGTTTTAACATTGGTCATCTATTACACAAAGTAATTGCTATCTTTTGCATTCTTCAAACTCAGGTGTCTAATGATAAGTCTCTAAAGTTCGCCTTTTGATATTCACTTGCATAGTCCTTACGATTTATGAATTATTTATTTTGCAAATATAAGTAGCTTATTCAAAATTTTAAAACCATTCACATACTGTTATGTCTTCCAGAAATTAAATGAGGATGACTTTCTTGTATGAGATTGGTTGTCTAGTAAGAGGCCCCTTTCAGTTTGTCTTAGGCCCCAAAAGGCTCAAGATCAACCTTGACCATATATTGGAGACTCAGTTTTTCTTTTAAGTAGGGTGTTTGTATTTATTTATATCCATGTCATACATGGATCCACATACTTGTACAGAAAGCAGGATTTGCAACTCATCAAATAATGAAGAAATAGAGACATTTATGATCAACTTATCCTACAAAAATTTTACTCATTCAATTTTATTGTATCAAACTTTTTTCACCGACTGCAACCCTTTACATTAAATACACAAGATACGACCAGCAGCAGAGCTTACCTCGAAAATATTCCTTTGTGTCGAGCACCAGCATGTGCCAACTTGTAATGCTCTGTGATCTGAAGATTGCCCCAGTGAGATACTTCCACTTCGCGTACAAGCTCCTCAACAACAGCAAAGGCATTGTTATTCTCAAAATGAACAATTATTGGAGAATAAGAGTATGCTGGACGATCCTTGTATGGCCCATACTTTATTTCGGAACCAGCACGGTTAGTGGACTCCACTCTTGTAAATGACTCCACCCTAGTACTAGGCGTTCTTATAAAAGTAGTCTGCTGCTTGATATAATACGGTGACAATATTATTGCACTATCGCGGTAATAGACCAACTGAGACTCTGATTGGCTTATCTCCGCTGGGAAAGGCTCCAGAGAATGTGTCAATATGTAAAGCACCTCTAGTGTTGCAGTTTCACCTGAATTTAGTGGGTTGAGCAACGAGATAGAAAACGATTTAGCCCCATTTGGTGCATCAGGTAGCTCAGTGGGATTGACTTCCAGGGGAACATAACTTTTCTTTTTCTTTTTTCCAACAGTGATAGCTGCTTTGAGCAATGCTAGGTGATCAACCTGTGTGGGTGGAAAAGCAAGAAGTACTTCTGAAACAGGAGATGTGCCAGTGTTTTCAACCTGAAAGACAACTCCATCAATTTAATAAAATATAAACATCCCAGTCGAGTACCATGAGAAAATTATTACTTTCAAAATGGCTAATCCGTATGATCATAAAGTATGCCTGTCTACAGTGTCAAGTTGGTTACCGTTACAAGCATAGTGTCCCAAACTCGTAGGTGGCATACCAATTAGTAAAGACTAAAACTCAAAACTCTCATATTGTAAATCTATTATCCACATTAAGCCATATTTGGGCCAAAAACAATGCAGTGGAGCATGACAACTTAAATCAAACCTTTATTTGTCAGAAAAATGCTTCTTAAGAGTTAAGACCATGGTTTATAAACATAACGACTCACATCTTCCGGTATTCAAAAAAAAAAAAAAAAAAAAAAGTAGTTTATAGTCATGTAGACAATAGACAGACAATCGTACAAAGTACATTTAGCATGCCAATTTGTAAACATAACGACCCACAGTTTCCAGAATCCAAAATAAAAAGTAGTTCATTCATCCACATTATGCCAGATTTGGGCAAAAAACGATCTGAGTGCAGCATGAAAATTCAAATCAAAGACTGAACCTAAGCTCAAGCATCCACATTCATGTCGAATACGATAAATGAAAAACATGCACAAAATCTCAAACCATGATAAAGATTTAAAATTCCTAACCCATCAAAGTTTCGAAATTTTCACAAATTGGGTTCAATTCACTACACAGAAAATCCAACAATACAGAAAAATCCATACCTTTAACGTCAAGAAAACCTTCACAATATGGGAGGTCAAGTCAATCTGCAACCCAATAAATTGATCAAATCAAACGTAATTAGATATAATCAAATCAAATTTGAGTATTGATGGAGCGGAAATGAAAGGAAGGAGCTTACTCTGCGCTCGGCGTTAAGGATCTGGAGATCCTGAGGGGAAGAGGAATAAGCGAGCAGAGAGAGATGGGAGAAGATCGACAAGGCTATGACTAGCTGACCTAAGCTTCGCAGTGCTTCCATGGCTTCCGGGGAAAGAGTGTTAGCTTAGCTTGACCTCCAGCGACGACTGATCGTGGTGTATAGTGTGGGGAGCAGGGCTATTCCACGGTATTCAAGCCTTGACCTTGGGTTTCATGGGTCTTGGGCTTAGATGGACCTGTTTTTGGCTGGCCCTTTTTTATTTTTATTTTTGATCAAACGATATTTATAATAAATTAGTATCAAATTCGTCATTCATAATATTCGAATATTAGACCTCTTAATTATAAATAAAGAGAATTATCGTGGACCATAATAATGAGTTGCAATTGACTGGCTCCTCTTATTAGTTTCAGTACTTTTATTTTCCGACTTTATTGAGGCAAATCGACAGTGAAAAACGTTTTTAGAGCGTAAAAAAGTGATATTTTGGTCTGTAATTATTATGGTTCTTAATTCTTTTATCATTATATGTCATAATACACAATTTGTATACAACGAGTGATATTTTGTATGGCATAATTACTTGACTAAATTGTCACTATATGTCATGTGATACATGATTATTTAGAATCGATGATCAGTAAAAAATTATGTGTCTATTTCAATTATTACATATCACGTCATACATAATTGTATACAATCAGTGATATAGAAATTTTTACTATCAATAAGATAAAAAAAAAATTGAGCCCAAAGTATATGGCTAATGTCATTTTTTCCTCCTTACATTCACAGTAAATTTTATGAAGTTTATATTGTTACATTGATGCATTATTTGTTGATTTTGAAATTTATAGAAGTATGAAACGTAACTTTTATGTTTTACCACAAATTTCCAATCTTTTATGTTTAAATTTTCTTAGTATATCAATATGTTTATTGATATTTCTCTCAATTACGAGTAACGGTATTTCAACCGAAATCAAAACTTAAATAGTTGTTATATGCTAACTTGCTAAGTACTAAGTAGGGTGTAGAATTAGGCAGTTCAAAAACCAACCATAACGTAAAAAATATAAACTGTTGAGAAGGGAGAACAGTCGACCATTGCAAATTCTAAAAATGGATAACAACCGTAACCATTTATAAAATATTACAAAAGGGAAGAGAATAATTTTATTTATGATTTGATGAACACAGTACAGTGTACGTACAGAAGAGAATTCGAAGCAGTTTAGACAATTTTTAATGAGTTCAGGACAGTCGGATATTTTTAGGGAAATTTGGAAAATTAACCATATTTTAGATTCTAAATAGAATTATAGCCATTATTTTAGTTTTATGATAATTCTAATAAAAATAGATGTAAAAGTACTAATATATCTTTAATATTAGGGTTTCTCATAACAAAAACAAACCATTTTTTAAACTCTCTTGCAACCTTCTGGTTTCTCAGTTTAAACCAAAAGAGCACTCTTTGCCCATTTTGCATAATTAAGCAGCAGGGATGTTTTGACATAAAAAAAAAAAAAAAAAAGGCAGCAGGACGCAGCAGCCTTTTCAAAATTTTGATATTTCATATCATGGTTTTAGTCAAAACTTTAATGATTTTCATGTTCCAATGCAGGTGAATATATTATGAATCCTTCGACAAATCAACAAGTTGATTTAAGAATTAGAAGCTCCTATAAAGCAACCATATCAGTGTTTATTTGACACTTTGCATAAGCATGTTAGTATGTGCTAATTAATTTTTCTCTAAAACTTTTTCCTAATTTTAATATATTTGCAGGTTAGTTAGACATGCTAATTAATTTTTTTTTCTTCAGAATATGACTCAATTTGTGACCGTGGTCCACTGCGGCTGGAAGAGTGTTAATAGCCAATACACAGATGGTCAAGCGAAAGCAATGGTAATGTCAACCAAAGTTACTCATCAAGATCTTATACATGGTATATATAAACGTCTTCGTGTTAGTCTGAGTGAATTTAGAATCTCATTATATTATCAACACATGAGCAACTTAGGGATGCAAAATATGATGGAGATTGTAGACAATGACGATGTGAATAGTTGGGTATGTGAAAGTCTTTCTGCAAAACCGACAAGATTCCGTTATATGTCACAACATATCCTCTAAATGAACTTGAAGATGAACACCCAATTGCATGCAATTCCGCATCACCAACAGTGGCAATTCAAGAGAATGATGACATTTTGGGTGATGAACAACCAAGTCAAGTTCTTCAAGACAATGCCCAGGTTAGTGAGACTTCAATAGATGTGAGTTTTGAGTTAGACATATTCTCGGTTTTGGTGTTTCTTCAAGGTATTGTGTGTGAATTTTTTAATTTTTTTTTTTTCACATGGTTGACAACTATGCAGGTATCTTCCATTAATCATTATGCATTGCAAGTACATGAGGCAGACTTATATCATATAGTTGCCCTAAATGCCAAGACATGCACATGTAGAAGGTTTGATCTCGACCAACTTCCATGTGTCCATGCAACTGCCACATGTCGAATTCACAACACATCAATGTACAATATTTGCTCCAAATTCTACACAGCCGATGCAGTTGTGCTACCGTATGCGGAGCCCATTTGGCCGGTTGGAAACAAGAGTGAATGGAGTGTGCCGGAAGAGGTGCAGAATAAAGTTGTGTTACCTCCAATTAGACAAGTTGTATTTGGAAGACGCAAGACAAACATAATCCCATCTCAAAGTGGGGAAAGGATAGTGAAAAAGTGCAGTTGCTATGGTGGGACATGCCACAATCGTCAAACTTGCAAGAATCCAATTAGACTCCATTCCAACGCATGATGTAAATGTTTTTCTTTGGAATTTATTACATTATTGGCTTTTATATTATTCGGGATTTATTACATTATTGGCTTTTATATTTTCAATCACCAGTTTAGCAGAAAAACCTCACACATATTTTAGATTAAAAGGGTTTTCGCTCCTCTATTTTTAGATTCAAATTTTGCTTCGAAGATTCAGTTTTTGATTAATTTTTATGTTTAGTTTACTGGGTTATATCTTCAATTTTCATGTTCTCTGATTACAATTGAATATCTATATCTACTCTCTCTCTCTCTCTCTCTCTCTCTCTCTCTCTCTCTCTATATATATATATATTGATAAAAAAAAAAAAAGTGTAAGAAATGGAGGGTTTCGAGAGAAGGGGTACTTGGTAGTATTCAAGAGGCTACCTCTTTTATGCTTCAAGATCTCAACTAATTGTTGTTTTTTCATGGTTAAGAGCAATGGGGAATTTTTTGTCATTAAGGGTATATTAGTACTTTTAAATTAAGTTTTGATTAGAATTATCATAAAACTAAAATGATGGCTATAATTCTATATTTTTCCAAATTTCCCATATGCAGTGTAGGTACTCAACCAACTTTGGAAGTTACGAAAAAAATAAAAATAAAATAAATGTGTTCTAGAGAGTGATGCACCAAACAATGCCCTTTTCCCGTAACAGCAGCAACTGAACTGAATTATCTCTCTTAGATTAGATCCTCCCCTTTGGACTCGGGACCATCTCCAACCTGCCTTTCATCATTGCCATCACATTTTTGTATGATATTCTACGCTTAGCGGCCTCGTTTGGTACGTTGGACTGTTCTGAGTGATATTTGAGAGAGAACAGTGAGATTACTGAGTCGGACATGGCGTGCGTGAAGCTGGGATCCAAATCTGAAGCGTTTTACCTTGATGGCAAAACTTGGTACCTTTTTTTTTTTCTGGTGCTTCAGGGTTTTCATTTGTTTCTATTTATTGCTACCACATTTCTGGTGCTTCAGGGTTTATCATATATTCATATGTACGACTGAAAATATTTTGATGGTTTGGCTTTAATTATTTGCATTTTTAATTTCTGGTTTCTGGGATTTTCTCATTCCCGTTAGTTTCTTGTAGAAAATTGCTCAATTGGGTTTCTTTTTTGGTCAATGATTTATGAATTAATCAAACATTATTTGTTGAATTACTGACTTCTGCTAATACTGAGGATGATTAATTGATGGTTAATTTCGTTTTACCAATACTTTTGATATGCTGAGGTAGATACATTTCACTGTTTCATTGATCCGGGACTGTGGACTGTGAGCATCATTGTGTGTGTGTGTGTGTGTGTGACTCTGCACATTGTACGCGTAAATTGTGTATTCTGATATATTTACCTATGACTAATCATAAGAAAGCTTTCTTATAGTAAAGCACCTTCCTTCCAGTATCATTTCCCGGCATTGTAAAAAAATTTCACTCCGTTGTACTTTGTTATTTTTCTGTAAAGTCACTCAAAGGAATCTGTCATATGTAAGCCGGGATCTGTGATCAATTGTTTTCTTGTGAAGAAATGTTTGAAAATTTACCAGTGGTTGCAGGGTGAACTGATATGGTTAAGCATAATGTACAACTTCAAAGATACAATGTAGAATGTTCTCACGAGTAGACAAGGATAAGAGGAAGGTGCATTGATTTAGTTCATACAGAGATTTAGAAGTATAAGTTTTTTGCTTTATAAATTGTTTGTGTTCAAGAGGAAACCAAAGCATGGACTGAGTCTTATGAACAACTGCAGAACCGTAGAAATTTCCACATCGAGACTTGTATCATTGTGACAAGAAACTGTCTTTTTTTTTTTTTTTTTAAGAGCAATGCCTTATGTACTTACATTCATCTGTTTCAATCTTCTCTGAAAATTGTTGACTTAAGTAATATCAAAAGGGTGGTGCTATCTACACATCTCTTTTTACCTTCCACACACCCCTGTTAATTTCTATTATTTGATCCTCGTCAATTATTCAATTCGAAGGCCGGAAATTGAAAAGTGTGTAACAAGGGGGGTGTGGATAGCACTACCCTATCGTAAAGTGTATGACTTAACCTTGCTAGTTTTTTGCTAATGCTTTCTTGCCAGGCGGGTTTTATGTGGTTTGGGATTGAAATTGAATTTTTGTATTCTTTTGTCACATAATTTTCTGCTCTCTGCTGTTAAAACTCCTTCATCCTTGATCCTTTTGAGGTCACTGGCCTGCTTGAAACCTGTTGCCCACTTTTGCTTCATGTAGCGATTGTTATATGCACATCTGCACATCGTAGTCGTCATTTTTCTGTCAGAAGATCCCTCAATGGCCTTTTTTTGAGGATAAAAGATAAGTTTCC